GGATGGCGTCGCCATGAAGCTGCTCCCCAGCGAGCGCAACTACTGCAAGTTCATGGTTCAGACCGAGGGTTGAAGAGAAGGATGAGAGGCAGATTTCGACGGTGTCTTCTGGTGGCTCATCGTCGCGCTTGGCTGGTCAATGAATCTGGAAGAGGGAAGGGCTTTTGGCCAAACGAGGAACTCTACACAGCAAGGAGGATGCCAAACACGACGAACAACATTGTGCAGTGGCTCGACAAAACAAAGATCAGTACTATAACCGTGATATGTGATCCTGATGTTTATTATGCTCTAAAGTCTCAAGTGTGCGACCGAAAATGAAAAGCTAGAATATGCCATGAAACTCCCCCCTAACCACCGCTCGCTGTTCCGGAAACCTCCCGGTCTGTAGTCTGTGAAAACGCCCTATCCACCACTTGAAATTCCAGACCCCCATCCACAGCCTATGATAACCATACTTTGATCTCATCGGGGCAGCTGATTATCTCAAAGCTGTTCTCTTTGTTGCGTTGCTCGAATATGTTGTGGCACCACATCTGTATGAAGATGCTGACGTTCTTGCTCTTCAATCTCCTCAGCATGCATGAAAGAGAAGTGTCCAACTCCCTCAAAGAAGGTATTCCACTAACTGACGGGTGCGCATCTTGTATGACCTCCGACAGCGGGACTAGGCCGAGAGGGTTGCCATCCTCGAGACGACTCTTTCTGGCGTCAGCAAGCCCTTCGAAAGCAGCGTTGATGAGGCCGATGGAGGTCACACTCCCCATCAGTCGGAGGCCACGGGATCCGACTCCAGTTCTCAAGAAGTGGGCGTCGTAGGGTGCGAGAACGATGTTCCGCAAGTTCTGAAGGACATGAAGATTGTGAGGCGTCAAGTGCTGAAAGGTTTCAGCTGGCTGCAGCATGTGTTTGTCGAGGACAAAGACGTCCTTCTCAAGGCAAACCCATTCCTTCTGGTTGTTCTCTGCGAGAGGAAGGTAGGCTTTGCGAGCAGCCCTTCGTATTCTTTTGTTGATTTGGAGGACAGTGCGAATCTGAAGATATCGCTCCTTTGCCAAAGCCACAGAGTCTCCCCGCCCTCTAGAACAGAAGACGCGACGTACAACTTGAAGCGTCTGTGCATGGCTGTAGAACTCGAAGTGTTGAGGCTGCAGGGTTGATGTGGTAGACGAAATCAGCTCGTCAGCGATCATGAGAATTAGCTCATAAGGGAGTTTTCTGAAGATCGTGGAGATGGACGAGGGAGGGGTTCCTGTGGCTGTGGCCATTGTGAAGGTCGATCTGATGAGAGGTGGGCTGGTGTATGATGACCGAGATGTGTTGTAATGAAAAGAATGTGAGCGAAGATAACAGCAGTGAAAATTTGGCGCGGTGACTGAAAGAGATTGTTCGATAGTGTGATTATCTGGAGCGGCAGGCGCGATGAATGTGAGGTCAGCTTGTAGTGTGGAGGGCTGAAGTTCACAAAGAAGACTTTGGATGGGACGAAGAGAGGTCCTTTCGTTCGTTTCAGTGTAGGAGGCGCGATTCAGAGATGGGTCTTGTAGCAAAAGTTGTATCGTAGAAACGATAGGAATTTGAGTTTCTGTGGGGGCCAACCTTTGCGCCCTCTCTCAGTGCTCGTTTGAAGTAGAATGTGAAGCAGTGTAGTTGGAGGAGAGAAGTTTGTGTCTGAATGTGATGTGATGCAGCTCTGTTTATATCCCAGTCGAGTTTGAGATTCTTGGAGAGTCGAGGCAGGAGGCACTCCAGGGGGAAGGAGAGAAGAAGGGCAGGATGGAGAAGGTGCCTCGGAGAAAGGCGACCACGCTAGAGACCAACGACCATGCCTGAGACCGGCGACCATACCAGAGGCCGACAACAGCGCAAGTGACCGACAACGAAGCCAGAAGCGACGATGAACGTGAAAGAATCTTGTATATTCATGGGTTGTCAGAAGTTAATGAAGGGGACAACTCACCTTCTGTGATTAACTCTCTATGCACCTTGGTGCTGCTGTTCCGCTGTGTGCGCTGAAGACTCTGCAGGCTACCTCTGGTTATTCCACCGTCTAGGTCGCACATGCGGCGAGAAGATATGCATCGTCAACTTATGATTGTCTCTCGGATAGTGTCATCAAGGGCTACTTCTAGGTTGGTGCCACAAATATCGACGAGCCTGCTCTTTGCCGAATCCAATCCAAGATCTCAAAGGTGTTCTGAGTTGCTTCGCAACATTCTTCAAATCGACCATCGAGGCAGGGCATAAGTCAATAGATGCTTCCACTTATTTATGCATGCTCCATGCCCCAGAAGGCATTTCAATGAAGTTGTACTTCTCTGCGCACGTCGCGGCCTGTGTCGGCCCCGATCTGGGATGGTTTAGGCTGGAGAGAATGCTGTGGTGCTTTGCGATTTTAGCCGAGATCGCGGATTCTGGCATCGCAAAGGACTTCCCACAGCTCTTGTGGCTGCAAGACCGATAGCTCGGATATGGAAGTTAGGTTGTAGTAAATCAGGCTTCCCTTGTGTCATCCCTTTCCGTTGGGTCCTTTTGGCCGACATTCACCGTATGGGCCTCGTGGTTCCATCGACGACGCCATCATTTGATCACTGTTAGGCTTAAATATAAAAGGACTTACCTTAGTACGCCATTCTGAAACGAGCATCTAGCCAGGCATCACCCAGATCCAAACACTGTATAGCTTCAAGCGCGTGTCTCATTCAAGGCCAATTTGTCTCGCAGACAAGACCATCCGGAAATCTCAAGCTCGATATGTCGCAGCCACCAGATGACGACTGCCAAATGGAGGCATCAAGAGCTCCAGAGAACGAATTCAAACCAAGCACTATCCCCCCTTACGAAATTTTCCTCCTCGTAATCGAAGCCATGATTGACAATGCCTTGGCTGTGACTACTTCGGCACACTGGTTACTCGAAGCCCACACAATGGCGACCTCCATGTTATATATTTATCTTGACATGAGGCCCAAGATGGAACACTTCAGAAGGCATCTTAATAGACACAGAGATCGGTACGCTCTGTTCAGAAGCGCCACTCAAATCAACCGCGACTCCCGCCGGATCGTCGAAAATAGCTTCCCTAGGTTTCCCTTTCGCGGAGCGTGGAGCAGGCACCACGCTGACAATGGATCAGTCTGGGTGTGCCCCAAGATCGACGTGTTCTTCTTGCCGCCTTTTGGATCGCCCCCAGTCCAGCCGGAAGACTATATCAATGATAAGCACGGTAGACTGGCCAGATTGAATGACGTCTTAGGAAGACGAGAGGTCTTTCGCAACCCGAACCCTGCTGCAGCGGCTCTCTTCCAGCACGTTAGAAACATCAGAATCTCTGGTATCTGTAGTGTGCTGATTGATTATTGCCCAGAGGAGATTCGCTGCATTGAATCTCTCCCTGCGCTCGAGCTAATCCAAATCTCTCACAGGCACATGCGCTTCCCACCCCCACTAAGGAATCTAGAGGCATTTTATGAAGAATTATTTTGTGAATTTTTATATAACTACAGGGAATATAAGGACCTTTTTTTCCTCTACCCTAACCTAAGCTAGTTTTCTTAACTACTATATCGTAACTTAGATAAAAGTAATAATAGTAATTAGTTCTTAAAGCTATTTACTATACTTCTTATTAAATATTTTATTAATTTCTTTTATATTATTCTTATTTTTTAAGTTCTTAGTAATCTTTTTAAATCTTTACTTAATTTAATAGAGAACTTAGTTCTAAAAATTTTCTAAAAACTTAATATATATTATAAAGAAATATAGAAATACTATATTATTATTTTTAACTAAAAAGATATAATTAAACTATTATTAAATATATAATAAACTAATATTTTTTAGATATTTAATATTATTAGTAATAAGAACTATATTAATTAAATAGGGGATATATATAAGATTTATTTTAGAAAGTTTTAAATTTAAATTATAGTATAATAAGGGATTACTTTTACTAACTTAGCTAAGTAGTTTAAAAATCCCTTTTATATACTCTATAAATTAGCTATAGAGGTTACGCTCCCTCTATATATTTCCCCGTTAGAGTTATGCAGTAGTTAACAAGGTGCGCCTCCAGGCGGCAAACTGCGAAGAAGAAAACTTAGAAGGGAAGAAAGGAATCCAGAGGACCGCCACCGCCATGGGGAGCTGATTCCCATTGATGAGTCGCTGTATCCATACGCGGCGGTTGCTGCAAATCTAGACCCATTCGGTCTGGAAGACTTGTGGGGGAAGCTACTCAAGCGTGGTGTGAGATTTGAGCTGACCGGGTATGCGGAGTCGGATGCAGAGGACATGACACCTCGCAATGAGCTTTTTCAAACGCCGGAGGGTCTTATGATGCGATTAACCGATCAGGAATGTCGTTGTTACCTCAATCCGGTTGAGACGGAGAGGAAGCAGATGATGGAGGAGATGGGCTTCGGGTCTCAGTGGTACGTTTCGTTGCCCAGGGACATGTCAAGCAATGACTTCATCGTCTGCCTTCAGAGGGAGGGGGGAACATGACTAATTGACATGTGCAAGATGTTCATTATTTAGTCGAGAATCAGACCAGGAAGTTTAGTGAGTTTGAGCTTAGTTCTCTGGCTTGGTTGACGCGATCCTTAGAAGGCGAAGTTGAAGTCTCAAATCATCGGTGTCCACATTCGTGAACAACCTCTCAAAATGGATCTTTCAGAGGTTCCTCTTGAAGATTTATTCGGGATACTGACCAGCTTGCGTTGAACTTGCCCTCCAAGGTCATGACTTGCCCCTTCTGCCAGCCTACGTCTTGTCACTCGCATGATTCGGGACTTCAGCGAGGAGAGGAACAGCTTAGCGAAATATCAAGGCGTTTTCGTCTTCCTTTGAATCATTCTGTTGATCTAATCACATTCCTTCTTGCCATTGCATCGCCCTTGTCACACGTCTTGTAGCCTCCTTCCGCCTACCCGCAACCTATCCACTAACCCAGCAACTCCACGCGCATGCCTCCAGAGCATTACAATTTCTCCTCATGTAGCTCGCTTGAACAAAGTCAGCTTGGCGAAAAGACACAGAAACGTCGCGGGCATCGAGCGCGTCGATCATTGTGTTCAAGGAAGGCGACGTACATGGACACCATAACGAGTGCCAATCATCTCCATGACGACACTGGAAACAATCGGGAATCTGTCAACCATGGTAATCTTGACTCCTTTCTCCCACAGCTTACCAAACACGTGGTTGAGTTGGGCTGAAGAGAAGTGGGGGAAGTGGGGGATCGAGGCCACGCCTTGATCGACGGGCCAGAGATACTCCAGGTCGGCGTTCGCCATGTTGGGGGGCCAAAAGCAGCTGGTGATCATATGGATCTGCTTGAGGTTCGGCAGAGCCGCCAGTTCCCACTGGGCCTCGAATCGGTTGATCAGGAAATTGAGGTTTCGGACCTTCAACGTCTGGATGTGCTTCACGATCTCCTTCGACTCGGGCGTGAGGTCGGGGGACCAGAAGGCTCCGAGGGCGCGGTTGAACTGCTCGGCGGCCAGGCGCGGGTGCGTCAGTCTGAACTGCCAGATGTCGGCGTCGGGGCAGATCCAGATAGGAGGCCACATCTCCTCCTTGACGTCATGGTCGTTGGTGTCGCCCCAGTCGCGCTGGTGGTACATGATAGCACGGGGGAAGGCCTTATCGACCATTATGCGAGTCTTGCGGTTGACCTGGCGGATGTCCTTGAAGATCTGGAAGCGTCTCTTCATGTCTGGCTCGGGACGTTGGCGGTGCTTGTCGGTGACAACGTAGAGCGGAGCAGACGAGGCGTCCGCCTTGGGAGCCGTGATTTGCCAAGTCATGGGCTGCTCGCAGGCTTTGTCATAAGCGATATCGACAAGGCTCTCACATATGAGAAGAACGACCTCGTAGGGAATCTTGGGGAATTGCTGCTTCTTCTCGCTGGCAGTGATGCTATGATTCCGTCAGCACTCCTTCCCGGCTGGGATTTTTGAGGACTCTCCAACGCAATCCCGGCGACCAGGCAAGCCACCACTGAATCGACGACTGAAATTGACATGAGAAACCAGAGATCACATACCCGTCATTATCATCGCGGAGGTTCATGGCCGCGAGGGCGCTGCCCAACGAAGGCGAGTTCTCGCTCATGTTGGCGATTCTGGTGATGTTGACGAGAACAAGTTTTCGTTGATTTGCTTGGGAGAAAATCTTTTTCCCCCCTCAGACGGAGAGATTGTGGGATTTGTGGGAGGGCAGGGCTCAACACCGGGTGCTTGTTGGACGAGGGCCTCGATGTCTGACATCAAGCGTGAACAAGGGGAGCGGAGCTGCTGAAAGACGCAGCGATATGGAACCCTCAGTATGAAAGGAAAGAGACAGGAAGCTGGTTATAAACGTACCAGGGTCAGCACCCGCCTGCACAGTCTTCTTTGACCCTTGTTCACTCAAGGCAGCGCCTTTGACTGCGGCATTCTCTATAAAACGCCAACTCTCCTCCCACTCTCTTGAACACGAACAACGCCAGTTGAAGTTCAACTCTCAGCTTCAACACCCAGATCCAGTATGGCTGTCGACGTCTCGCAACTAGGGGCAGACATGGCTACCATGCATCTTAATGGCCTTCCGATCCCTCACCTTCCATACGAGATATTTCTCCAAGTCGTTGAGAGTCTTATCTCCATTGCCATATCGGAGGCCACCGAACATCCCCTGAGCCTGAGCATCCAAGAGCCCGATGCTAGGGATGAGATCCACGGAAAGCACAAGATCTTACTCGGCAAGCATCAGTTTATTCGTCAAGCCGACATATCTCATCGGCTTGACCTCGTTCGCAATTTTCACCAGATTGACCGCAAGACACGTCGCATGGTTGCGTCTGCCCTTGTTCAGCTGCCAATCACAACATTTGAGTGCGGCGTGACCTACATATGGATGTGTCCTCGAGTCGATGCATTTCAGATCATTTTCCCCCTATCCTTTCTCCGCTCTCTCCGACACTCTCCCGCCCTTCACTTGATTGAGCATGTTGTTGTGAATCCTGTCGAGGCGTGTTTCACCATGTTCCCTGAAATCGTCGAAATCCTCACGGCATTGCCAGCGCTCAAGTCCGTGACGCTCATCTCATACTTTGGGGTCGATACGAACGCCCACATTCCCGGGAACCATCCGTGTCAGCACGAAAACGCTACCGTCGTCGACGAGAAATCATTGATAAAGTTGCCACCAGGTTTCGAACTAAGCGGCCCTTCGTGGGCGCCTATATGGGAACGAAAGGTCGCCTTCTATCTCACCGGCTATTATCAAAACTACCTGTTTCGACGCAACATTCAGCTGTTTCGTTATCAAGATGGTGCTGACTTTGGCTCGAAAAGCAGTAGTGACGGAAGTCTGCTGATAAGAAGGTTGGATCCTTTTTCTTAGGAACATCAAGACCCCATAAATGTGGGCGACTTAACTGCCGGATCATGCTGCCACACATTACTTCTCTGTATATGCCAGTTTACTCTGACGAGAGAACGGGGAAAGGTCAATATTGAAAACAGGCTCGAAATATGAATGGCAGCGGGAGAGACAGCGGGAGAGACCTTTGACTCCGACTGACGCCTAACGTCCAGTGTCGTTGTCACATCATGTAGACAATGGATCCAGGCGGCAAACTGCGAAGAAAAAGTTAGAAGGGAAGAAAGATTCATCTAGACAATGTAAAGGGCGTAATACTGAATCTTTGGCTTGGCTCCGACGGGTTGAAGTACCCTGACCACGACATTGGAAAACCCTTTCGGCCATAAGGTTTTACCATGATGGATGTTTCTGGCTGTGGACCAGAGAGCCCATGATGGTTCTCAATTCATTGTAGGATATATAGACCTTCGGCCCTGATCTGCTTCTAACGCGGACCTTGGATCTCTGTCAATTCCAGCCAGGTTGCATGGTATTCAACCTCCAGATGAGTCGTCTTTAATAGCAGGGCACACCAATATGACGTCCAGCTGTGAGCCTCTGGAGCGAACTTATATATCATAGACTCGCCAGAAGCGTTGGAGGTAGAGCTTTCGACGGTTGAGTAGTTATCAGGGTCGTGTAGGGACATCCATCGATGAACATTGTGCTCTTTGCTATCCGCGTACCCACTGAACCCAGTGGCGACGCAAGGGGGAACAAGTTACGTGTGGATGAGCAACCTTTTCAAGACAAATGACAAACTACCTTGCTACTCGCTTTCCATACAATCTCTGATGCTTCCTTTTCTCACATTTAATTCACCCATCGCTAGGTCAGACGACACCATCAATTTCACCTTCTACACAGTGAATTCGCAGCCGACAGCACGTACTTCAGACGAACGAAACATATAAAAGAAGCCTCACATCCTCTAATTTTCTTTTTCTCTATTTTACCTTCTACATAACCTGCTTTGTCTCAGGGGAGGATAACAAAAGTCCTTTCTCTTGCCACAACATTTCTTTCACAATTCATTTGCCCAACACCCCAGCACAACAGCACACAATACAATAAAGATGGCAGCCAGCACCACTACCGCGGCGTCTGCTCCCCTCCCCCATTTGCCATATGAGCTTGTCCTGCACATGGCCCAGTATGTCATTGGGGATGTCTACGCCGCCATCACCCGGAACGAATGCACACACGGTGGGGTCAGGTGGACGCTGGGAGTGCGTCAAAGTTGGACCAAAAATTCATCAGACTACATCATCTACCCCGAGTTCAAAGCGGACTTGCTGGGGAGATGGGGAACGCCGTTTCGTCTTCTGCGAACGATCTCGCAGGTTGATGTTACCCTGAGGAAGGAAGTGTTAAAACACTTTGCTCCATTCCGGGGGGCCGCCTCATGCTCATTCGAGGATCTCGGATTGGCATGGATTGCCACAGGAGACACCTTTCTGTTAGGAAGGGATCTGTCGTTCTGGTGGTCTTTACTCGGCTCACTGGTCGACATGTGCGCATTCGAAAAGCAGATACTCGGGACTATTCAGGAGGTCCATCTCGATAGCCTGAAGTCGATCAAGTTTCTGAGAGGGGAAATCGGAGACGACGAAGTCAAAAGACTTTTGCAGCTCTTTCCCACCCTACGGAGAGTTCTCATTGGAATCCCCAAGAGGAGGGATCTCATCTTCACGGAGTACACCGACGACAATCTGTCTCCCCTTACCAGGGACTCCTTTACCGACCCGACCAAGATCCCCCCATTCTTCGACATCATCTGGACAGCTGGTGTGAAGACCAACACCTATTATTCGAGCGACGCCGCCATCTTCGACACAGCCTAAGAACTTGATAACAACATCAAAGAATGGATGACTATAGGCGCTAGCACGTATTCAAGCCTGAGATTACAATGCAATCAGGTAAATTTTCGTTTCCACACAGATTCGGACTTCCACTGACATCACGCGCCAGGTCGATAATGACTACAACGATGATAATGACGATAATGACAATGATTTGGGAATTCTCGGCGTAGATACGAAGGGACAGAATTCACAAAGCAGCGTGCAACGCGCAGACGGCAAGGACTGTGCGACAAGACAACAAAGGTCTTGCAGCGGCATTTTATGAAGAATTCGTTTGTGAATTTTTGTATAACTAGGGATACATAAGAGGTCCCCCTTACTCTAACTACCCCCTATATATCTAGTAAACTACTTTTATTAACTACTACTTTATTAAGCTATAGTACTACTTTAAGTTCTACTAATAAGTTCTTTTACTTTAGATAGTTTAATTAATTTACTTCGTAATATTAATTATTAGTTATTTTATTATTTTTAAATACTTTAGTAATATTTTTAAACTTATTAAATATTTTAAAAAGAAATAGATTATTATAGCTATATTAATAGAGGATAATATATATTAGTAAGTAATAGAAGAATAATATTTCTTTAAATTTATTATAGTTCTAAAAAAAAAAGTATTTATTTTAAAACTTATAAATATTATCCTCTTTTTCTTTAATAAATTAAATAGAACTATTATTATTCTTAAAGTAGTTATAGAAGTAATAAATATAGTATTATTTTAATATTTTAGTATAATAAGTTATAATAGTATAAAAAAGGAGATATTTATTTCTTAGTAATTTACGCTCTTTTTATATACCCCTATAAGTAGCTATAGAGGTTTCTCTATAAACTATCCTAGCCCTTAATTATTCCCCGTAAGAGTTATACAGTAGTTAACAAGGTGCGCCTCTAGGCGGCAAACTGCGGAAGAAAAGTTAGAAGGGAAGAAAGAGTCTTGCGGCGGAAGACAAAGCGCTTTGGATGCATCATCCCTGACCAGCACTGGGGCTTTATGAGCTACACTTGGCGTTTGGGTTTATTTCAGAACTGCTTGATAAATAAGGCCAGTCGCCTGACAGGCCACCTTAATACACAATACCCTATTGGTACTGCATACCTAGCATGAGAATATCATCAGAACAACGGCAGCCGGTCAACAGAGGTTTTCCAAGGCCGAGAAGATGTCCAAATTCTCGACGTGTCGTCCAGTCGGCCCCAGATGAGGTGCTGGAAACAACTTGGAATTGCAACACCCCGCAGGAGCTGGCTTTAGAAAGACACTTAACCATTTCTTAAATAGACTCGCCTCTTCTTCTCGGCTATGATCCGAAGGCTGACTACGGCCAAGGTGTGCCCTACTACGTCGAGAGGTCTAGAAAAGAAGTAGTGCCATGGTGGACATCAGTCCAAGTCTGGGGGCTCATGTGACACTAGAAGAAGAGCGAGATCAATCTAGACGTCAAAAACAAGGAAATAAAATGTCACATATTCCGTTTATCCCAATATCTACGAAACTAGATGCCACATGACCAGAAACTGAGAGGCTCGCCAAATGTTCTGAGGCCTGGAGAAGTACCCCGTAACCTAAGTTGGCACGTTGCGTCTCGATTTCCCGTCGCACCATCATCTAAAACAAGATGCGCATCTATAAACCTTGAGCACCCATGTCAAGACCAGGTCAGCTCGTTGTGCAGGCGAAAGCCGCGTATATCCATGTCCACAAACCAGCTCTCGCACGTCTGTCAGCCTGGGGACAGACAGCGCCCTGAACCTAATAGGTATCTCCTTCTCTCCAACTAATCACGGCGAGTGGCGTCGCAGGCGCACTCGAACTCGGAGTAGGATAACTTCACCCGAAGACCCTTCCGCGTGGAAAACACCTCGACATCATTCCTGCCAATATAGCCCTCGAGGATGACGCGAGCGTCTCGGTCCAGCGCCTTCTCGATACTCTGCCTGTCGGGGGAACCCGCCTGCAAGATTGGGAGGGCTTTTTCGTTGACGGGCAGAAGATTGCCGTGGGAGCAGAGGTTTTCCTCCTCTTCCCACATTGAGACTAATCTATCTCGACGCTCGTAAAAGGTCCGGATGAGTTTGACATTGAAAAAGTCGGACAAGATGCGCGCGAATCTGTCAGGCGACAATATATACGGGATACTCAGCGTTTCGATATGGGGCAGCAATGACGTCCTACACTACAGATCAGGCGTCCACGGAACCCCGCCGTTTATATAGTAGAAATGGTTATAGTACATTGAAAACTCGTCGATTCTGGGCAGGGTCAGTATGTGGCAAGACATCTCTTTCCTGAGCTTCTGATGCACTGCCCAGATTTGAAAACGACGGCCAAAAATTCGGTTGGCGTGCGCAAGCGCGTCTTTGCTGATCAGTGCAATCCTCGTGAAGCATGCAAGTCGGTGTCTCTGCTGTCGCACGAAGTTTGGTTGACATGCCAAACTTGAAATGTATGGAGACCCGGCTGTGAGAATCCAGCGGGCTCGTTCCATTGAAGCCTCGAAGACCGCAATCAATTCGTCAAGTATGGCGAGGAAAATCTCGTGCGGGACTCGTCGGGGTTCGGAGACTTCATCGATACTTGAAAGCGTCGTCATGACGGCTTGGGAGACGCTAGAAGGCGCGGCCATGGCGAGAATTCCTCAGAAGCGTGTGGTGTGATGCGTTGTGATGCGTATTTGCAACCAGGAAAGGTCACCCCCAGTGGACATTGAGAGCCTTTGAAGCACATGGCCTGGCCATCGACCTTCGTGGCGGTCTACACATTTGCAAGCAGTCATCGCTTCTGCCATCAAGGTCCAGTTGAACCTCGAGCAGAGCTGGCCTGACCACGAAATCAACGGGTAGGACACTTGAGGCTGAACCAGAGCAAGCATCAAACGCCTAGAGAAACCACGCCTGTGTTGCTCCGTCACCTCCAAGAGTTGTGCATCCCAAAGCCCGACGTGCCGCCCTCAAGCATTATCAAGACACCCATACCAGTCCACAAAGCGAGCAGCACTGCTACCCGACGGCGACCGCGGCCTGGGCTTCACAGAGCTCGCGCCACAAGCCCCGGGAGACTTCTCCTTAAGAGACCAGGCATAGGATCTGCTACGCATGCCGGAGCAAAGTTGACTGTAGTGCCAACAGGACGAAACTTCAAAGACGGAACGTGCTTGGTGAAGAACGAGAGTCGATGGACTAGACACGAGAAAACTCGCATCACACACCAGCCACTTGAGCAGCTGCCCTCTTGACCGAAAAGAACCAAGCCACCTACCATTCCACGGACAGACTAGAGCCTCTGTGATGCCTCGCAGTCGGCCGACTCTCCCACGCCATCTTGAATGCCTGTTCAAGGATTGCGTCCACTTGGAAGCGTCATCTCGAGCCCGAGGCTAGTCGAAGCAAACGTTCATCCAGGGTAACTTACTTGATGCTGTCGATGCGTCGCAACAGCACAGCATCCAGTACCATCCTCTTCCACCGTCCCAGATGATATAACGTCATGCTCATGTTGTGTTCTTCAGTTGAACCGCGCGGTCGACAATCGCTCCAAGCCACCCATCGTTCGCAACATCACGGCCGAGCATCCCCATCAACCACCATCCATCAAGCACCTTCATCCAGGCATCCATCGAAATACTCTTCGCCAATGCAGAACCATCGCCAGTCGCTCGCGTCGTGTATCGTAATCGTCGTGATGCGCAACCCGTCTCCTCGTCGTCGAATCGACCGTGTCGTGGCCCCCTATTCCACCTCCTGCATCATCCCTCCATTACTCCCATCTCCTTCGAAAGCGTTCCTCTCCCAATCATCTGCGTCGCCTCGTCGTCGTAGGAACCATATCGAAGTTCGAAGCCATAAGCCATCGTCCTCCTCTCTCCTCCCATCCATCCGAAACCCCAACCGCAGCAAAAGGCGTCCCCTCAAAAGCCGTCGAAATCGAATCACGCAGTGCAAATGTAGGAGGAAAAAGCACAGCAGTCGGGAAGAAACACCTTGGATTAAAACTACCTGTCAAAGAGTCCCGTGGCAAACAAGTTTCCCCGGTTTCCCTTACTCTCAAACGGCGTCAGACAGAAAGCAGTAATGACGTACAGCCGATCACCGCCGATCACCATCGCCTCCTCTCACCTGAAAGGTAACCCCAACCCATCCTTCCGCCTTCGTATAACCCATCAAAACCAAAAAGCGACAAAAAGAGGTAAATGAGATTGGAACGAAATGAAACTTTGGGAAACAATAAAAAGGGCCGAATGCACGCAGTGTGTGCACCATGAAAGTTCGCACGATGAGGGAAAAGGCCATCGGAGAGCTGCAGAACTTTCTGCAGCGACGGAGATGTAGGAAATCCCATGGAAAACCGAAAAGTCCCGTAAAAAAACCACAAAAAAACACTCCCCCGCTTCACCTTCGTCGCAAATCTTTACCGTCATCGAACGGGCAGCCACAACAGATGGGAAAATCCCTACCCTTTCGCCCCAACCTTTTGAAACGCTCAACCGCTCCAAACCGCTCGACATCTGTCACTTCCCCAGTAGATCATGGGCCCATGGTGAACCTCGGGCCGTCGATCTTCGCCACCAAAAACGTGCGCACGCGGTTTTCCCAACGGCAGACGGCAGGCAAAGCAGCCAGACAGAGGGGAAAGCAAAATTGCCCATCTCAGCCCTAAACAGACTGACACTGCACCGCACCTGTGCCTGAAATGGCTCACGAGTGCCGATCCTGGCCCTGAAATGGCCACATCACCGTCGTAGCCACGGTGAAGGCGGTCGCAGATCATGAAAATCGGGCCTGTCAGCAGTGCTGGTTGGCCAGAATGCCTCAAATTGGCACCGCAAACCACGGGAACATACTGCTTCTCCTGCAGATCGTGAGTTCTTCGCGTGGCGGCATCTTGCCCCCTCGCTTCCTCTTCGACGAGCTAGTGTAGACGCTGCCGTTGCTGCTCTGCAGCGATCTCAGGGTCCTCGCCCTTTCAGTAGAGGGGTCTCAACGCCCTGAAGGGCTTCTGAGAGGCTCGTGGCTGCGGGTGGTTGCCACATCAGGACCTCCTGCAGGCGGAAACCTCAAAATGTCGGCAAGATCGCCATCTTGGCGGCTCGATTTGCAAGGGGAATCCCCTCAACTCGCAGGAGATAGGCCGGACGACAGCAATGGGGTAGGGAACACCACGAACCTGTGCGGCCCTAACCCCTCCTCGCCTCGCGGCGCTCCCTCACTCGACCCCCACGTCCCGGGAGGGCAGAAGAAACAGTAGACACCGCCACTCCTGCTTCTCGCGATGTCCCCTCACAGAGACTTCTCTGTCAGGGTGTGGCAAGCGCCATCAGACTACCGCATCAGGAAAGCGACAGGCCGTCTTCGCGATCGCCATTGGCTCACCGTCAACGTTCCAGCGGGAGCTGCTCCCGCTACTGAGCAGAGAAACCTAGATTCAACTGTGGCTGGAGTGGTGGAGGAGGCGTGTGAGTGGAAGAAGGGCGGGAACCCTCATCGCCCGGGTGAGCACATCGAAAGAGAACTTGGGAGAAAATGGAAAAGAGAGAGATCTCTTCGTAAGTGAAGGATATATGTGCCGTGGGTATGAACGCAGTTCGTTGACCAGATCACCGTGAGGTGAACACGATCCGGGGCCTCGTCGCCTCTTTATCGTCTTCACCTTGATGAGAAGGCCCGCTCGGTGGCTCGGTCGAGGCGTCTCTCCTCCTCTGATGGGACCCCTCCACCTTGCTTCCCGCCGCCTCGTGGTATTCCTATCCTCGGCGATCCCAGGAGTCTGGATGCGTGTAGGGGGGCTCGCCCAATAAGCGCGGCTGTTGCTCGGCCTGATAGAAAGTGACTTCTCACTAACGGGACACCAAAACCACCACTCACCCCTGGGCGGCAGATGTCGCTGCACGAACTGCACCACGCACAGCCGCCAACTGTTTCCTCCTCATTCCTTCGCTGTGGCGAGTGCATGAGGCTAGAGCCAGTCAGACCTCGTACATCTCCCACACCTCTCTCGCACCCCTCGCAGACAGCGCAAACAGTCTGCTTCATGTCTGCTCAGCCACAGAAGCCACGCAAATGCCCAGTCGGCTCGGTTGGACGAAGCAGATGTGGCTCGCCCTCAATGCCACATCCAGCAGGTGATCGACGTTTGTGTGGCGTCGAACAGAAGCCGAAATTTTGACTCAACCGCCCGCCAAACTCAATCGATGTAGGCGAAAGGGGCTGACCCTTGGCCAGCTGAGATGTTGGCATCTAGACGCACCTGACTGGCCCTTTCCCCTGAATGTTGATGCGTGTTTGAGGTTTAGTGTGCAGTGATCAACCCGAATGTCGCTCGGATGGGCGCGCTGTGGCACCGAGTGTGGCTAGTAGCCGCGCAATCATGGCATATCTTGTCTCAACACAGAGGAAGAAATACCATCGACCCTCCAATTTTATGCATAACGCACTGCTGTTTGCGCTCCAGACATGAAGAAACGGCCGCGGTATTTCTCCGAGGTCCTTTGGGCTGCTTTCTCAGCCCTGATACCATCGCGTGACCCCGAGGTTCTGGACGATCGACACTCGAGTATCCGTATCGGGCAGACGTCCAGCCCACTGGCGAAGACAAGCGGCCTTGGAGGGACCCGCCTGTCTTCGAGCCCTCGTATCTCGCACCATTCAGAGCCTTCTGCCACACAAGTTCGGCATGTCACTGTGGCGAGTGCTCTCCTCCACACCGTCTCTCCCTCGTTGGGCTCCTCTTTCTCTGAAGGTACTGGTACTTGCCCAGCAGGCCCTACGGCTTCCAGCCCACTGTCGTACCTTGGGAGCACTCCTGCCGCTGCATGATGCATGGCCGCGAGATTTGCGCATGTATTGCTGCGTTCAGGAACAGGGTCTGGTTGATCATCCTGCAAGATGACGATAAGGATACCCGATCATTGCTCGCTGATGACTTCCTTTCCCGCCCATCGTGACTTCTCGGGAGATTCGTTACTGCGCTTTAGCCAAATTGGACAGACGACGGACAGAAAAGTAGGTAGCAGGTCCAGGTATCATCTCCAAACGTTCGGTTCGTCTTGAAGAAACGTAGAGTTGCATCTGACGGGGCTAGGGTAGGCGGGGAACTCCTGGCCGAGGGGGGTTATCCCCACATGGCACTGGGCCCCGGTTTCTGCATACGGGTCAGTCGGTGCAAATGGACCCCAATTTCCCCGCACCGGCCCCTCTCCGCGAAGGCGTCGCGAAACAAAACACCAGTCTGTTTGCACCGCTTGATACACCTGCCTTCGCTGTTGTAAACGCTCAGATGTAGGGTTTGACGTGTCAACTGCAAACAGGCGCCTCGGCATCCCGAATCATCAGGCTGAAATGCTCGTGAACAAGATCCTGTGAGGTCGCCGGAACAAAACGTCCTGCTCCCAACAGAATTCGAACGGGCGAGAGATTGACCTCGTCTTAACTCCCTCAATCTGATATCGTCTGACAGGGCAGGTTTCGTGCGGCTCAACGCAGTCGGGGCCCGCGAGGTTTCTGCCGATATTGCGCATGAAAAGGATCTTTTGCCGTCCTTTGAAATCGCATAAGCCAGCTAGACGACATTCGACATCAGTGAGTCGCATGGTTTGGCTGGAAACGTACTTGTCTGAATAGTTGGTTGGCCAAACGTCTGACATTCGTCGTGAACAAACAGTAGGTGACTTTGCGGGACATGAAGTGTTCCTTACCGTACACGGCGCGGGCCTTGATACATACACTCCTCAAAAGACGGGACGGCCTACGCCCGACGCGAAGGCGTCATATTGTCCAAGTAGTGACTTTTCCTCGCTGAAGATAGGAAGTATCCCATCAACAACGTTCGATCAGGCCATTTTGGATCTGGGCCTGGCATCAAGCTCGGTTAGAATTGAGGGACGTGGCCCACGTTGATGAACTGCCACAGCCGCCACATGTGGCTTACCGATGTGATAGGATGTATGCAGGGCCAACGGGGTAATCTCATGTGCTAAAATGACTGCGTGGCTTGTACCGAAAGTCTCTGAGAATCAACCCAAGTACTGGCGCAACGGCTGAGAAACAGAGTTACGAGCCAACGAAGTGACAGCGTCCACGAGTTCTAGACCGTCGAAACGCGCAAGCACTCGCCACAGCGTCTGTGGCTCGTCCAACTTTGTCGGGTAACACCACTGTCGATCGGTGTGGCTTGATGCATTGCATCAGCATCAGTAGATCATTTTCAGACGGTGATGAGGGGTTGGGCGGCCTCGCTGGGTACATTGTACTGCGCCGATCGTACGGAAGAGGCGGAAGCCGGCCGATTGTGGTGACTAGGTACCCGAGTATTTCGGAGAAAGTCTGGAGTCGGATGGACGCCGCGAGGTCTCCGCAATTCGTCAGTCGGTGGCCGCGGAGCTGTCGGGACGAAGAACCAGATGCCACAGCGCTGCCACACCAAATCCCAATGAATGCTCGTTGTAGCACACCATTGCAAGGACCTTTGCCGTGACCCGAAGTGTGCAATCCACCCAAACACCAGGAAGGAGGATGCCATTGTCGTTGGTCCGTCTCCATGGCAATTTGTCAGTGTAAGCTGCAGTTGTTGAGCCCGTCGAATGCTGAATTAAACTTCCCGTATGTCCCCTACAGTGAGGACTACGGAGGATTAAGCTTCGTTTTACCGGCTCCGTTTGAAATTGTCCTCACTGCTCCGGTTGGCTGTGGTCACACCCTCCATCCGTCTGCCCGGCGGTCATGGCTTTTGTGAATTGCCATGTTGTGTTCACGAGCTCGCAGATAATGCTCAGTCCCATAGACCGAGGGAATGTCGTCAATTGCTGCTGCAGCCTCCCCGGAAACCTTGCGAACCTCGGGCATGTAAGAGGGTGCGAATACGCCCAAGAGGTCTTGCCGGGCCGGCGCGGCGTCAAGGCGCCAGGACGTTTTTCACTAGGCGCGCCGTAATGCGACCGATCGGACGGACACGTCGTGTGGCTAGTGGGTGACGGCCGCCATACATCGACGATGTCGAGGCTGTTTTCAAGGATGCTCCCGGTAATGCTTGCAGAAGGTTTGGGTCCGTTCCTTTCGCACGAGGCAGTTGTATCCCTTCATCATCCTTCTGGTTCGATTATGATGGAATACGATGGTACCGCGATGGCGGAGGAGCAGACCGTCGAAGACGCTAGCGGCTGCGCGTGTTGACAGAGGTTTCAACGCTGACCCAAGTGGCTCCCGCCGTCGAAATGAGCCTTATCCACGCGAGATTAGCCACGGCACATCCGTCTCCCAATCATCGTGCCCGATGCGACAAACGTCGCCTGTGCTGTCCTAGTCAGTAATAACCGTCGCGCATAACCGTCGTGGAACCGATATGAACCCTAGAGTTAGTGCATCTGTAAATCGGCTCTCTTTCCCATTTTGTAAATCCCATCGTCGTGGCGCCCGATGCCGCCCGCGCGGTTGAGAATAATGATATCAAAGTCAATGCCGTAAATTTTCTGTTCTCTAGATTGACTAGAGAATCAGTGGGTATGTTGCTAAGGTACAAGCTGCAGCGCAGGGGAGCTCGTGCTCTATGAATGTGTGCCCTCCAATGCTTGCATTACTTCGTCAACCAGCTTCGGACTTGTGTACGCAACGACAAGCCAAAGTACATGTTGGTCTGCGTTGAACAAAAGAAAGACAGTGGGTTAGGCATCAAATAGTATGGTAAAAGTTGATGCGAGAATCAGAGAGAAAAACAGCTGAAAGAAGCCGCAGCCTGGGCTGTCGACAACTCGGACTATACCACGGAACCGAGTAGACCGAAACGTTTTCGTGGTCTCGCTCGCCGTGTCCGAGTCTCGTCCTTCCAAAAACCCTCTCGAATGTGCCGACGGCCCTTCGAAGGGCGGGATATCTTGTGTGTTTTGCTACCATGCCCGTAATGACCCAGATCTAAATACCCAAATCATAAATCCGCCTGCGTATTTGGTGGTCGGAAGCGTTGAAAAGAAGAAGCGCCCCATCTAGGGACTTGGTATCTCAAAATCAACAACGCCAACTGAGCGATATCCCAACCATGCGTGTGCGAGTCCCTATGTGCGCTCGTATCGCCCGTGTCCAGTGGCATACTTGGCGACAAGCAGCCGGAAACAAGTACAAATCCCCGTCTAAGAGTCCTAGTCCGATCGATTTTGTTGCTGAAGAGAAGATGGATCCGATTATGTAACATTAGAAGTTGAGGCGCAATTCAAAGCCTCCTTGCGAAGATGGCTGGTCCATAGTGTCTCCCTCGCTCGGGTCGACAACCATGTCCCACTCTCGCTTTGGTTGGACTTCATCCGCGAGCTCTTTGATCTCGAGCCTCATATCCTGGCCTTCTCTCAGTTCGGCAATGACATCGTCATCCATTTCGACTTCGAGGCCACGATCCAGGACATGGACGGTGCGGAGGATCTTCGACGGGTCAATGTTCCACTTTGCGGCGACGCGATAGTTGAAATCTTTCAAGTTACGCTGGGCCAAGTAGATCGCCCTGTAGTAGTCTCGCTTCTCCGGCTCAGAGGGGCTAGGTCGGATGACGTAAAAGCAGGCGACGGGCTTTGCAACACGCTCCGGAGGGGGTCGGTAAGATGGGTCGACTCCGAGGGCCTCGATCCACCCGCTCAAGTTGCCGGCATCATCCGTCTTGCTGACCTTTGTAGGCTGGTCTGAGCCCTGTCGCGATGCAGGCTCACCAGATCCTTCGCCGTCAAAACCTGACCATTGTCGGTTGGGCACTGCCGACGCTTGTGATGCAAGAGACAAAGAGCTAGGTGAAGGCGACACCAGAGAAGAGCCTGCAACAGAGCTGCGTCCGCTGCGTGCTTGCCACGCGGGCCCTTCACGAGATTCCACCTTTGTGACTTCGCCGCCCTGCTCTCCGGGCAGAGACACAGGATGGGCATCGGGGTCGTCGAGATCTTCGCCACGGAGATACAATACGCTGACGGGTCTGGTGCTCGTAAACATGTCCTGCAGTGTCTGGAGCTTGTAGTGTAAGTCTTCTTCTAGCGGAGGGCGGGTGCCGCCCGCCGAACTGGTTGAAGACATCGACCACGTCCGCTTGTGCTTCTGCACCTTGCCTGGTCGCTGGTCTGATCCCTTGACCTGCGATGCCGACGATCTCTTGCGCTTGCCAAAGTCCTTCATGCCGCTCTCCGCCTGAGCGATTTGCTGCTTGAGCTTATCAATCGTCTTCTTGACGTGCGCAACATCGTTGGAAAGCTTTCGTTCGGCACCGTGGTCGCGGAATAACTTTACCTTGCAGAAGCAGATCTCGGGGTTGGCGTCTGCCGCTGGCTGGGTAGGATCCGAAGGGAAAGTCTGGGTTTTGGCGCAAAGTCGAACCGGGATACCCTTCACGCCCTTCGAGTGACTGAAGTCGGTGGACAAGAAGTTGAATCTGACGGCAATGTTGCATTCGGGGCCGCCGTTGATACCGGGAGTCCAAACCACGGAAAACCCGTCGAATGATGCAGATTCAAGCTCAATGCGAGTTCTCTTGTCGTCGCCCTCGGTGGGTTGTCCAGCCTCAACATATTCCACAGCTTGCAGCTTCCCGCCTCTCTGGTGGGCCTCGTTCGTGCCTCTTCCCTCCTTCCACAGGGCCCAGCATACCCCAGGCTTCTGTCGCTGCTGCTCATCTTCGAAGGAAATGCGGACAAATGTGCGGAATTTGGTGCCCGGAGCGACGGGAATAGTCGCATTAGTGTCCACGATAGAAAGGGAGTAGGCCTGGCCTTTGTTGAGATAAGTTACCGGGATCTCATCTGCGTGCTTGATCATGGCGGTTGGCGCATTTAGAGTCGCGTGGAATCGAAACTTCTCGGCAGATGGCGGGAGCGCGGCAGCCATGGGCATGCCGCTGAACTGGCGTCCTTGTTGGAAACCAACCATGGGTGAGTTGTGAAACGCGCTGTCGATTGAGGTCATCCTCTCTTCAGACGGATCAGAATTCATAGGCGATCCATCCTGTTCCATCGTCTCGTAGCCGGTATCCTGGTGCACAAAGGTCGACGGTGCGAAGGATTGCTGAGGCGCAGGAGGCTGGATGAAGGGATGGAACTGTTGCTGGAAGTGCTGGGGATGCATCCCTTGGAAACCAGCGAGGTCCATCATGGCAGGTCCGGAGTTCATCGCGCCCTCCGACGTGGGCATCGACAGCGGGGTCCCGAGACCCATACCGAGACCCAGCGTGGGCGTGTGCAAGTCACCGGCTTGAGGGTGGTAGATGGTGTTGGTGCCGCCCGGGGTGGGAGTGTAGTAGCCAGGCGGCGCATTGGCAAAGTTGGTGAAGGAGAACGAGTTGGGATCAAGCAGTGATGGAGTGAACCTCCACGGCTCATTCGTCGCTCTCGGCGTCGGATCTTGGTCCCTGAAAGCTTCATGACTGAGACTATGGCTTCTGCGACAAGTTAAACATTAGCAAATACGTCATTTACACACAAAGAAACGCAGTCTTCCCGGTGCGTTGATGCTTGAATTGAATTTGGAAAGTGGCCGTCGATTGACAACCGGCCAAGTACCCCGCGTTTCCGCCTACTGGACTGATCCCGGGGGATGCGGCCGGCAGGCTGGACAGCAACGGCAACGGCAAGCCTCGAGGCGGCAAAACACACAAGGTTCGGTGAAAAACTGGTTCGGATGCGGGTACTGACCTTTCTTGGAACCCAGGGAGTGGAACGCCTGGGATGGGTGCAACGGCGGCGTTGTCGACGGCAGCCTGCGGAACACCAGCCGGTGCGGCGGTTGTGGCAGCTACCTCAGGGAACTGCTTTCTGAAAGTGGCCAGCAGTTCATCGCCAGGCTTCTGGGCGCTTGTTCTGTACAGAGGGCATACGAGTCAGCTAAAGGCCGGGACAGGCGCAAAAAGGTTTCGAGATGGCGCAACAACACGCAGCGTGTGTGCGGGGAGCCGGGTTGTACAGCTATTTTGGTCGGTGCATGAGGGGGACGAGGCATGGCAGAGCTTACCTTTGGCGAAACATCTGGAGAGCAGATATGTGCTGTCAAGCGACAGCAATTCCGTGGTGGTATTCAGCGCGGGTATCGTCCCGAATCTTTCCAATCTCTTCCTGGCGAGCGATCGATTGATACGAATCCTCGCCCTCGTGTAGCTTTTCCCTTAGCTTGCTTGCTTGCGACGCCTCTTTTAGTTTTTGGATTCAGCTGAGCCGGGGTTGGTTGGGCGAGTATGGCTGCTTTTTTTTCCTGGTCTTAACGAGCGTTGGTCAGGTGGGGGAAAGCCGGGCTGTGGCGCTTCATAGAGCGGTGGATGAGAAAACGAGCGAATGGGTCGGCGAAAGTGTCGCACGCGGTGAGAGGAGAACTCCAACGGAAGTCGGGGTTTCAAATGATGATGGGCAAGCGACAGAGGCCGCTAGCAAATCGAAAAGTTGCTGGTCGAAAGAAAAAGGGCCGCTCCGGTATGACGTCCGTGGGGAGAAAGCGGTATATTAGAGGGAGTTGTGGGTACCTGACATGTACGTATGTGAGGCAATGTGGACAGACCGACAAGGGTTGAAGCGGAGAAAACGATGGCCTAGATGCGCCGTCGACTTCTGCTCTCGATATTGGCCTGTTGGGTCGGAACGTCGGCGAGACTTTTGCTGTTTTGGTGCGTCGAGTCCCTGGGGTCGAGAGCTTTTTGGTCAGGAGACGTAGGTGTGAGGGCGAAGTCGGCGATGAACGGGACTCATATGCGCACGAGATGTGACGACAGGTTGGGAATCAAGTGGTTCGCCGTTGGTCGTGGGATCTTGGTTCTTGGGTGTAGTTGCCTGGTGGACTGCTGCGCGATGTGAGTTGTGAGCATTCGAGGACAGCGCGTGTAGACGGGCTTGAGAAGCTTCTCGAGTGATGCGACGAGGAGCTGTGCGCGGAACGGAAGGATGAGCTTGTGAGCAAGCGCAGGGCCGAACAGGATGTGGTGAGGTGAGGTCGGTGCAGACAGACGGGTAATTCCAGGCAAGACTTGCAGAGAGAGCCGAAGGGATTGGGATGGAGAAGTGAATGGGATGAGCGGTATCTAATGTATGTATGTGGTGGTGTAGGCACGCATGTCGAGGAAGGTCAGGTAAGGACCGTAAGGTAAGGTAAGGCAAGGCAAGGTAGGTCGAGGTAGGTATGGATGGTGTGTGCGCGCGCGGGTTGGAGGAGCGGTGCCCTTGGGCTGGGTATCTGGGTCCGCGGTCTGGGTCCTCCTTGGAGAGAGGAGAAAGGTATGGGTATGGGGCCTTGGGCTATGGGTATGGGTACGGGTATGGGTATGGGTATGGATACAGCGGACAGCGGACAGGACAGCGGTCATGGGCGAGCAGCAGCAGAAGGGTGTGGGAGGTTGAGGGCAGGGCGTGGAATATGAAAATGGGGGAGCGATGGGTATGGGTATGGGTATGGATACAGACAAAAAGAGAGGTACGACGGGACGGATGGAGAGAGAGATATGGGGCCAGGGTGAGTCTGCGCAATGGAACAGCGTGAAGAGATGGATGTGAAGGAGACAGACGACGGATGCCGTGGCCGTCGGGTAGAGGTACCTGGCCGCGTGCCTGGGGTGTGGTGGGAAGACAAGTAGATGTGGTACGTACCCTTTTCTGTGTGTGTGCGTGTGTTATTATTTTTTTTGTGTTCTGGACTGATGAGGAGGTGTCTGCGAGGTGCGGGTGGCAGGCAGCCTGTCTTCAAAGTGATAGAAGGAGCTACCTAAGGTAGCAACTGTGCGGCGTAGCTGGGCCGAGAGACACGTTGGAGGAGACTTGGCCGGTGTGGTGGACGGAATGGCGGGCGAATTTGGATTCTTGTTAGGTTGGTTGGAGTTGGAGAGGACGGCCGGTGAGGGAGGGGGGATATGTCTGAGAAATACTCCAAATCCAAAGAGGGGGAAGAGATATCAGACAGTGGGAGGGAAAATCGAGACAGGTGAGGGCGGCCAGAGCGAGGTAAAGTAGGTGAGCGAGCGGCGAGTTGACTCGAGTCGAGGATGAGGGTCGAGTAAGGTATGAAGTAGGCAAGTAAGTAGTACCCGAAGGCAGGACAGAGTAAGGTAAGGTAAGGTAGGTAAGGTATGGTAGAAGATGTTGGGATGAGAGGTATGTATGCGTGAGAGCGAGCGAAAGAGACGCAGCAGGCTGGCTGGTGGTCAATGATTGATGTGTGCAAGCAGAGACTGACCGAGATGGTGGTGGTGGTCGTCTTCTTCTTCTTCTGTTGCTGCTAGCTGGTGCTGGTGCTGGAGATGGCCAGGGTCCTTTCTGCTCTGCTGAGAGCCAGGTGGACATTTGCATCTCAAGTCGTGCTACTTGTGATTACGACTGGTATGGCTGCAATTTGAAGCTGCAGTACGTACCCTCTCCCATCCCATGCAGCGCAGGCTGTGTGGCTCCCGCTCTCTCTCTCTCTCTCTCTCTGTCTCTTCCATTCTCTGGTTGTCGCTGCAGCGTGCGCCAGTGCAGGGATTGGGCATCTTCTTCGGCGGCATCTCCACTTGCTCATCGTCTCCCTTGTCAAGCCGCCTCCCATCCAGAGGGGAAAAAATTGTTAGTGCGCGACAACGGGCCTTGTACTGCACCCCCCGCTCTCTTTCTGCCCCCGGATGGGATGTGTTGACAGGGCTTGTCTGATGCCACCCCTCCCGTGTGCTCTTCGAGAGCAGGAACAATACCGAGTACTTTCCACACACACACGCGATGTGAGTAACATGCCCGGTACGTATCCTCTCTCTGTTTTTCTCTTGCGTCCAAACGACGGGATGAGGACGTAGACGACTGGAGTTGGACATGCGAGAAGTGACGCCTGACCGATTCATCCTCCACAACCTCGTAGCTCGACGACTCGATTCGAGTCTCAAGTGCATGCCATGTAGGTGAGGTAGGTTACCGCCTCGGTACATGCCCAGGCGATGCAGATACATTGCCTTCCTCGCCTTAGCAGTTGGAGATGGATTGAAGAGCACACACACAGTTTGGCTTCCGGGGCCCTGTCGAGCTGCCTGCCTTTCTTTGCTGCATAGTATGTACGGATACAGATAGCCATGTTGCCATTCGTTTCTTTCTTCCCTGCATAGTCAGCCGACACTTTTCTCTCAAACTTCAGTAGACTCGGAGAAAGAGCGAGAGTGAGAGTCGGAGAGTGGGGGATGCAGCAGGGGGCGACGTCGCACTACGGCCGCCTTACCCAACTGACGTAGTGCTTTTCGCCTCGGGCCCTTTCACTTGTGCTTACCTCGATATTACAGACCGACGTGACAGACTGACAGCTGGATACGCTGGAGTCTTGGGCAGAAAAACGAGCGAGCAGAAGAGAAACGTAGGCAGAAAAGACGGTCGGCAGCTGAGGCTAAGCAAGCTGAAGCTGAAGCGAGAGAGGGAAACGCCGGGAGCTATTCTCTCCCGCGGCACCTAGGTAAGGTCGCGTAGGTAGGTAGGCCAGACCCCTTCCCTTCCCCTTCCCTTCCCTTGCCTTCCCCTTCCAGCTGCATTGGCTTCCATCCCTTCTCTCCGCACGATCTTTGGGAAACAAAACGTGGTTGCCGTGACCCCTTCTGACCCCTTCTGGACCAGCGACCAGTCACAGGAGCTACCATTCCCCAGGACGGGACAGCGTAAGGTAAGACGCAGGGTAAACGGAGACGGGGGGATGGGGACGGAGGCAGGTACGGACGGACAGACACCAACGGTTGGTTGGCTGCTTCCACCCAATGCAAGTACAAGTGCAAGTGCGAGTGCAAGTGCGAGTGTCAATCAGTGCGAGTGCAAATCAGTGCAAATCAGTGCAAGTGCAAACGGAGGGTCCCTTCTTTCCTCGATGAAGGGCGCCATTCCCGCCGCCGTCTTAGCGCACCAGTCAGCCTGTCCCGTCCCGCCGCTGGCTGTCGTGCCTGCCTCTGTTGCCCTCTGCCTGCCTTCTGGAGGCTAAAAGTACGGTAAGTCGAGGCAGGCGCTTTCCCCCCCAAACGATCTAACGAAAGGTAGAAAGACTTCACACATGGCAGGTGCGATGGAGGCACCTCACTCAAACCTTAACGTGCCCGTTCCTGCCTGCCTGCCCGCCTTACACCAGGCATGGAAGGTGGTAGTCCACATTACCATGACTTTGGCTGGCGCTTTCCTCCAGTTTCCCATCAAGACGCCTTGCCCGTTTTGCGCAACGGCCAGCAGCAGCCACCAACCTTCCTTACCGGTGTCCTGCGCAACATCCCGTCGTCCACGATCCGGGACAGTCCTTACTTGATTGACATGACCTGACCCGACCTGAGCTTCTCCCGTCCACATCGTCCCGCTTGGGGTCAATTTCAATCACATCATTTTCCGCACAAGGTCCCTCCCTTCCATCAATTTACCGCCATGCAACCTTTTCTCGCAAAACACACTTTATGCTCGCGTGCACCGACATCACCACTGCCACATGAGAAACGGCACAGAGGGGAAATAAAACTGGATTTGTTTTCCCCATCCTCTCTTTGGCATTCCCGCCCGTGTACCGTGCTCCCTGGGCCTCGTCGTCATTCCCATCGGCAACCCCTTCTTGGTTTCCCTCTCTTGCACGCCTAGCCTCTCGCGCTCTTTTTTTTTTTTTTTTTTCTCTTCTAATTGCTTCCACTCACAGGCTTTATCCCTCTCCCCTTAGACTGCCAATACCACAACAGTCATGGTGCGGAGTGGGCGGGTGGATATCGTCTGATTAAGATGCTGTGTCCTGGATCGGTACTTCTGAGATCATCGCATTTCTGACAGCTGGATGCCCCATTGTCCCATGCCAGCGCTGCCCAAGAAACACCTCGACCTGACGGATACTCCAGCGCTTTGCGGTCTCTATGGCGGCCCAAGCATTGAACAAATTGGATGCTGATGCGCTTGCGTTGTTCAGTTGTCCTGCACAAAACGCCTTCTTATGCGCCCCGGACGCTTAACGCCTGGGATGCGCCCGGGACAAGAGCCTTACTTCGACGCGCCCGCCGGTCTGGCATCCGTCTACTGGCCAGGCCACACGACCTCAACTCATCGCTAGTCACAGCCCACAGCCGCCGGTGCTATAATTCAATATCTGCTTTCTTTGCTTCTTTCTATCAATCCGTCAAGCCGCCCGAGATAATCCGCTAGCCCACCCCCTCGCTCGTCCGATGCTTGGGACGCATTCCACGGGAAGATCTAGCCTCATTGCGCAATACCAATCCGTCGAGCAACCCCCGTCGACTTGGCTCGAATGGGCATGCCAGCTCGACGCCCCTCGCACCTGCAATTGCGTCCCGCGGCTCACTAACCGACGGCATGCGGAACAAAGGACAAGACAAACGCTTGTGATGATATCAAACTTCACATATTGTCAATTCCCATGGATGAACACTGCAGCAGCAGAGTCCCATCACATCCAACGCACACGAGGCGCATCTGTGTCCCCCCCCTCAAAATTTGGTAGACTTAGAAATTGCTTCTGCCGCCAGATCAACAACGACCTGGCATGAACTTGCAACGGCTTGCAGAAGAAAGCGCATCGTCATCGCCGATGTACCACTACAATGCACATTGCGCGCCAGAATAGGCCCCGAAAGACCCCTGGACCCTTTGTCCTTGTGGCTGTGCAATCTCCGTTTCGCCCCCCTCGCCGAAGCGCCTTAGACGAGGTGAAGAGCCGTCGCATCCTAATCGAGGCACGCCGCAAACGGCATGTGCCCGAAGTTAGGGGCTTCTATGTTTGTCCTTTCCCATGACCTACCGACATCCACGGAGCTCATCTGAGCTTGTCAATATCGTCATCTCGAAGAGCGGTCATGCCCGGGGCTTCAACCAACAACGGCACTCGCCATGCCCATCATCGAGTCGATCATCGCATAGCCGGCCAGTTGAGCCGGCGCAAGCAGATGAGAAGCTAGAGTCACTCCACGCCCGCGGCTCGATGCAGCCGACAACTTAGTCGGTGCTGCCTCTAGTCTCGGATCGACCATCGCAACACCAACTCCATGGGAGACGCTTTCGCTTGACCCTGGCTATGACTAGCGAAAGCCGATCGTTGCTCAATGCGCCGTAACCTCCAGAGTATCGTCGCTTCCTCGATGCGAGCCACGATTCAAGCACGAGATCAGCAATCCATCCACTACGAGCACTGCGCGTTCCCGTTTCTCGACCGCTTCCCTGACTTAGACCGGCGGCCGAAGTTGAGGAAGGCTGATGTCTCGGCCTCGGCTGGCGACGGAGTCTGTTCCGGGTATCCAGACTCGGCAGACCTGTGCACACTCTCGCCGCAAAGCCGCCGTTGTCCAACAAAATCAACGTTTCAATTCAATTTCTGGCAGGGCGGTTGATTCGACATCAGTGCCCACCGAATACAACAACGGCCGCCGGCCACCCTACCTATTGCAGACTGAGGCCTGTGGCGTCGCCGACCGTTACAATCCGTCTAGTGAACTCTAAACCGGCGCTATCGCAACGTCGCCAACGTCTTTCTGGTCGCCGCGCCGTTAGCACCATGGTAGCCGACATTGGTACCCGCGCGCGGGATGAGGCACGTGGCGTGGCTTCCGCTATGCCATCCGTGTCCATTGGATTTGCTGTCACAACATCACGACGCGAATAATCTTGAGCCGTCAATCTGCTAGATGTCTTGTTGGTCGCCGGTGCTTGTGGCATCACTGGGCAGCCTTCCGTGGCGGCCAAGCGCGATTGCGACGCCACACCGAAGGGATCGTCCTTTCGCATAGCGACATTCGTCCACACCTCTTTAATGGCGCCAAAGACAGGCATTCTTCGAATATTCACGGAGCCTTCCATGATCATCGCAGTTGATATTTTTATCTTCGAATGATAGATTGCTTGCAGCAATGCCACTGCCCCTTCGTGTTGAGTCACCGAATGATTGAGCGACCTCTCAGGAGGCGATATTGTCATCAAAGCATCTTTTGCGTGGTGCTAGCTCAGAGCGACAGCAATCTCCGTACCCCTGATTATCGGGGCGCTTACACGTACATGGCGTTCTAAGAGGACGTCGCTGTGCACCTCCGCCTGGTGGGGAGGACGCAGCAATTGACCAGACACATTTTCCCGCGACTCAATGTCATGGGTTCCGCTGCTCCATTCAAACCGAAGCATGCGCCATCGGATTCATGCCGCCGCCTTTGTCGTGGCGGTCAGGATGCGAGGAGAAAACGGAGGCGTTGACGTCATACCCTCCAGGAGCCGTTTGGCATTCGCAACGATCCACGCAGTCCGGAGCCCCGGCCGCCCGTTCTATGCAAGTTCATCCAGCCTCCGCCTTTGTTCCCATCTATTGGTGCCAGACATACATCGTTGAACAGGTGGTCGGGGGTGGCTCTAGGTGACTGGATCTTGCTGCACAACGCTGCTCAAGTGTTTCGAGTTTAGGCTCTCTTACACCTAAATATCCCGAAACACCATGTCAGGCATCTCATCGCGGTAGACTTTGTTGCCGTCGATTACCCGTGCCGGCGCGGCATCTCGAGACACCGTAGACGGAAATGCAACGCTGGCGCGACTAAATCAAAGTCTCGTCGCATCTTCACCAACCGCAGCGCAAGAAACTCTGAAAACCTACGGATCCTGAGATGGCTCTGAACCTCCTTTCATTTTGCGGAGGTGGAATTCTGCGAGGGTGCCTCAAGGGATCCCGGTAGCCTGGCCCAAATGCAGCGTGTCGACAGATTGGCGCGACTGTCACTGAGGGAAATGGCGTTGTGATCCTTGTTTCATCTAAGCTTATTTACCACGGGAGTCTCTTTTCGCTGGGCATCGAAGTCGAAACGCATCGGGTCTTTTTTCAGAGACTACTTCTAACTTGACACATGAGAGAAGGGCGTCCAGATATATGTTCATCTCTGGCGAATTAGCCGGTGAGGTGAACATCAAGCTCGTCGCTTCGAGTGCGGACCTGATGATCGACTGTCGATGATAGCTTAAGCGATGACCTGGCCCATCTGGCTGCGCTTGGGCGAGCCCCTTCAGCAACCAGCACGTCCCAATAGTTCGGTGGAGGCACTGACTGGGCCCGACGCGAGCCTTGACACTTGCCCTTGCAGAATGGACTGAGTGATCACTGATCAGCAATGATTTTGATACTCAAAAGACAACGACAAGCCACTATCACTGCCAAAACTGCTTACGCTATGGTAACGCCTAAACAGACGGACCCCCAACACCCACGGGCGCCGCGCGCCGCACGACTAATGCTAGTGTCAACAGCCTCGCGACAGGTCTCCATTCGGGAATAGTCCTCGAGACCGGCTCATGTCAGACATCGCCCTGGGAGCTGGTACAGGCCACTGGCGGGGGCCGTTTCGCACCGCTGTGATTGTTGCCAAATTTTCAGGACGTGGCGGGGCGATGAAGAGGAGAAGATCTGACGTCATTTCGACCCAGGAGCACCTCCTTACCCACATTCCAATGTCGAGTCTCGTCAAGAAGCCCAACCACAGGCCACGATACCAAGAAACAGCTGGCGGGTCAGCGAGAGCCAGAGCTATCCCTCGGTGCTGTTTTGTCCGCATCGTTCGGAGGGAGGGCTGAGCTAGGGACCAAATGAGTATCGGTGCAGAATCAAAGAACGTCGGGGAAGGATTCGGCTAAACAGACTGCGACGCCGATCATTTGGTTGAGAATGCTGGAGATTCTGCCCTATGAATAATAGTTCATCCCACTGGTTGTACTGAGGGGGAAACATGAGGCCAATGAGCGCCGCCTTTGGTCATCAACTACAACAATAGCCTTAATTGGCAAGTTGTGCCAGCCGTTCGTCCCGTGTTGGCAGCAGTCCAAGTCGGCACGGCACAACAGCTCACAAAAGAATCCTCCGACCGCTCAGATGGACCACTGAAATGGTATCGCCCCCAACAAAACATGAAATGCAGACAATATGGAGAGAATGCGGCGACACGGCCCCCAATCTCGCAGACATGCCTGGGATCTTTTGTCAACCATGACAAAGTCATTGGTTGTCGTAACCCGCTACGAAGAAATTGATTCCACGGGCGCCAGGGATGACGGCTCGCAAGAAATATCCCAAACTCTTGGATTCGAGCTAAATCACAGTTGCCAGAGTCAGACACCGCAGGGAAGACCTGACAATGCCGACGCTGTCATGCTAACCTTCATCAGCCTCAAGGTGCCTCCGCACAACAAGTCTGGGATCGCATGGATTTGGCTTGACAGGCATCTGGCGCAGACCCTAGAAATCATCAGACATCGGTAGTTGGAAGTCCCAGAGATTTCCAGTTATGCGGTACATTATCAAGCTTGGTGGTGGGCGAGGAGCAAGCTGCGGCCGGCGCTTGGGATGGAGTCTCTTGTGGGATCGACCTCGTGATCACCTGCAGCCATGTGCGCTGGCATGGACATGGGGGAACGACTTCAGGTCGAACGAGAATTCGCCCCTTCAGCGTCGTGCTCATTACCATCGTCAAATGGCAAATGCCTCACTGACGACATGAGTGACCAGTGGGAATGGAACTGTAAGATTTGGACTGTTACTCTGAGGGTTTGGTTTGGTGCCACCGAGATGGAGACTGGCGACCGGAAAGAAAAATTCTGTTGTGGGCGGATCATGCAACATACTGGCGGTCGCCTTGTGAGGATGTAGCCGACTGGAGACGCGGCTCGCGTTGCTCTGCTCTGCTCCGAATTGCTCGTCTCCTCTCGGGGTCATTGGGGAGAAACACAACGGCAATGGGGCTCAGGGACCCCCATCTTCCATCTCCAACCGGACCGGGGATGGATGTCCAAGGAGTTGGAGAACGCACCGCCACGGAATGATGTCATTTCATGACCAGCAAACTCTCAACACAGCGGGGGCCCCTTTCACCGAAGTGTCTTTGGAAGAGACTTCGGCTCCACCACCCCACGAAGTCCCGAGCCCTCGCGGCTTCACCACGACGCTTTCACACACAAGTTGCTGCGTCTTTACAGCTGCACTATGCACGTCGCTTGATTTGCGCCAACTGCGGCCTACACAAATGGCCGCCAATGCTGCCAACAACTGCCTCTATGAACAGATGAAACACACGCCGACAGAGACGATCCATGGTTCAGAGACCAATAACAACTTTGAACCGGGCAGCTCGCAAATCTGAAACGCTGCCATCTGATCATGTGTGCCCTTTCGCCGCATCATCCAGAGTGTTGAATCTGCCAAATTTGGGAGAAAGCTGTCAGACGCCTCCCGTTGTGCAGTCCCAATGGGGGGCGTCGGGATGCGGCAGCAACGTCATGATCTCGCTCTCGCTGCAGATGGCCCCATCCAAACACTCTCTTTTCGGTCTGACGATGGGGGTCAAGTCTCGGCGCCTCATGCTTTTCGGCATGCGGCACATGGACGATGTGGCGTCGACTGATGAGAGTCGTTGCCGAGTCTGCGGCTTTGCTTGAGCTCCCGTCTAACAAAGCGCTCGTGCTCGAATTTGTCCACTGCTCATCCGGATAATTCACCGGGTGGATACGATGTGGTGCTGCCAGGCGAGATGGGAGAGTACTTTGGTGGTGGGTATTCAAACTCCAGCAGAAGCTCCCTGGACCTTACCCCGGGATCTCGAGGGCTTCCCAGGATGCCATGTCCAACCCAATTGCCTCCCTTTGCCCACAAGCGACGACGCGCCGGACGACGATGCCGACCTCGGGCAGGCGCCACCGCGTCGTCGTCGTCTTCGTCGGTGCAATATGAACCGTGGCAAAAATTACGACTTTCTCACGACGCCCTTCAGCTTGCAGTATCGAGCAAGGGCACGGAGCCCGCAACATGCCGTGGCGACCACCGAAAGATCAATCCGTCTCGTGCGATGTTATCGCGAGCCAGAATATTTGCCAAGCTTTGCGAATGTAACCCTCTCGACTGGCTTGTGGGCGGCCGGTCGTCGCATTCTGGCAGACATGTCTCTGATCACGTCAAAAGCACAGAGGGTCGCCATGCACGTTTGCGGAGCCGAAGGACGTGTGGCTTCGGAGCATGAGCTTTTGGGGGAAGACAGCACCACCCCTACACACCCCCATACCATCCCGCCTAATGGCATGTTCACACGCCAATGTCCGCATAAGATTGTGACGACTGATGGTGTGCTTCCCAATCTGGTGTTATCGATGAGGCCCAGCTTGGGATCTTCTGCGAAGGCTCCCCAGGGGTGCCGGAGACTAGCTGCGAGCCCTGAAGACCGATCGATACCAACAGTCTGCTAGTCAATCAAGGGTCCCGACATCTGCCGCTTGGGAACGGCCACCGTTCGGCGCAACGGCCGAGCAGACTACACATGCGGCATGCCACCAGTCGACCAACGTAGACACAATCACGAGGTCTGTTGAGGCGTTCAAAACATAGCAGTGGAGAGCTCTGAAGCGAAAAGTGCAATTCGACGCGAGGTTGCAACGGTCCAACGACCTATTACACCTGAAATTGCTTACTCTCGTGACACTTCCAGGTCAGCGTAGGATTCCGTGCCTCAGCGACCTGCCGTAATTGCAACTGTAAGTCAAGACTCCACAGCAACGGAGGCGAAGAGGAGCGGCGGCAACCGCCGGAAGAAAGCAGAGGGCTTTGATGACGGAGACTCGATATTATCACGCTTCATTAAGTCTCAATAAACCTGTCAAAGTTCGCTTCGACGCACTGGCATGAGTCAGTGGGCATAGCTTGAACCGGAAACACCATCTCGATGGGAAAGACAGCCTCAGTCAACAGCTTTCAATGGGATGCATGCCCTGGCCTGTTGCCCTGCAGCTTAATCCCAATCTTACCGTACGATGGCAGTGTGGAAACATTGGAGGCACGCTTCTCGGGACTTGAGACCCGCCTCCGGAGGTGTACGCATCTCGGGCGGTGGAGACGCGAGGTTGCCATCAAGCGCGCCCGGTGATGAGAAGCTTTCGTCAATATGCATCAGGGCAACCACGGTTGAGTTCACCTGCTTGGGTTGAGGTCCACCTCACGTTGCAGTCGGAGGCCCGGGGCAGAAAGATGCCCTGTGCCGGGACATGGAAGGGACCGTTGTCGTTGACCCCGGGACGTGCCCTCTGCTCGGGTCTAGGAAATGACGACGCTTAGGGTTAACTTTGTAAGCGCGGCCGGTCGACGAGGGTAGCCAAGCGGAGGTTGCAGCACTAACGGCGGCAAAAACTGTGCATACTGCGCAGGTACAGAGTTGATGCTCACCAACAACACACGGCAACGGCAAGCTTCATCTCAAGACTCACCGGGGGCTACCGGCGGGGGTAGGGAGACAAAGTGAGAAGGAAGCAGCACAAGGTTCCGCTAGATCTCCGCCCAGCCACGGTGCAATTTGCCGGAGGTCGGGTCACTGGGTTTTTGGATCTTTGTCCCTCTCGCAAGCGGGCTTGTTTGCCGTTACTCTCGTGGTGGCCCGGCATTCTCAGTGGCCATCGGAGAGCATCCCGCGTGCGCGCGCCCTGGGAATCACCAGGATCAGGGTTTTGTTGGTGGATTTGCCCTAGGAACACTTAATACCTTTTAAAGGGTCTCCATCGACGCCGCCGGGATGCAGCGATTATTGACGGCCACGGTTGCCCAAGACAGCATGTGTTTTGTCGATCATGAGGTCATTGGCGATGGTAGGGGGGGGGATGGGAGTTGGGAAGGAGGGCAGAAAAATCTTCGATGGGACTTCCATCTGCGTGGGTCTTGCGGGGGCAACCCGGGATTCATGTTCGGAGAAGGGGGGGCCGCACAGCGGCGCACGAGCAGATGGCAGATTGGTCCCTGACCGATTACCATAATCAAGGTTGGCGAAGGGGACGGGCGAGCAAGGGTTCGAAGGGGAGCTTTGGGTTTGATGATGGGCTGTTGGCAATTGAGGCAGGCGGGAAGGGAAAAATTGGCGATGATCATTGCTGGGAGAGGTAGGTTTCTCGATGGTGGGAATCCGTGGATGGAACCCTTGATCGCGGGTCCCCTGGGAAAATCATTGAATATTGATATTTATAGAGGGCTGAGCCACGATTGGGGGGTGAGAAGGGAGACCTGGAGGGGAGGCACTGACGTTATTTGCGTACGATTTTTGCAGATGTCGGACATGGGGAGACGCTGCCACGCTGGCCGCCGGAAGGGCAACGTTGGAACTGACTGGAACAGGAACTTGGGACGCATGGTGAAGGGTGGGAAAAAGGGGGTCGACACGTTGCGGTGGGTGTGATGAACCCCGGTTCCCCGAGACGCATGTCCGACGTACGTCTCGAAGAGGCGGCATTTGGATTGGGCAAGGAGGG